TCCATCCATCTCTCATCCATCCATCATCCATCCATCATCCATCCATCCATGTGGTCTACAGGTCTATCAAGTGAGTATTAATAAGATTATTGATAATCAGAAACAGTTCTCATCATGTGGAGGATTGTGTAATCACCTGCAGGTAAACAAACAAAAGGCTGAAACTCTGAGCGTGACTGCAGATCAATCATCTTATCGATCACAACAACTCAAACAGTTCCGTAAACTGAGAATTAGTGAGGTCAGTTGATCACGTGAACCTTCTGATCAACAACAAATTTCACCGGAAGTCATCTGACTGATACACGTACGGATCGATACCATCGATCGTGACTCACCCGAAATCCGCGTCCACGGACTTGAAGAAGAACCTAGCGCTGGGTTTGTTCAGAACCTGCTTGAAGTCCGCCAGGGTGACGCGCTGCGCGGGCACGCCGATCCGGATCAGGTAGGGTGTCTCCTGGTCTTCCAGGTGGTAGATGACCCGGGTTTCCTCCGCCATCCTGGACCCGAGGAGCCCGGCTCGGCCCCTGACGCTGAGGGATGCTGAGGGTCAGGGACACCTGCGCGTGTCCGAGTCTGTCCACGTGACCACGCACCTGTCCCCCACCCCTCCCCTCCAGAATCAGCAGCTGGTTTCAGCCCGGTTCGGACCAGATGTATCGGTCCAGCCGCTGCAGGTCTCTGATGCTGTATTCTTCAAACACATCAACGTGCACGAAACTACACGTAACTTCCGGCTGTACCTTCCAAAATAAGAGTCTTGCTAGTGAGACGTTTAGCAGAAAGCTTTTATCGTTTTTTAAAATCTCGAGTATTGTGAAATAAAGATAATTTCTGTGTTTAATTCAACATTTACTCAGAAAAAAATTAAACATTAGTGTTTCCTTACAGCAGACAGGAGTCCGGCTGGACTGAACCGACCCGGTTTAACCTTCATTCATTGTGTTTGAAACTGTTGCAGCTTTTAAATAAACTTTAAATTGAATTTAAACATTAGTTTTAGTTATTAAACGAAAAACTTTTTTTTTTTTAAACAATAACCAGTCAAACAGGAAGTTTTGGAAGTTCTGTGGAAGTCGTTATATTCACACTGGCCTTGTTAAAAAAAGTATTAATTTTTTATTTTTTTTTAACAAACTTTATTTCACTCAGAAACAATAAGAATAAAACCTGAAAATATCTTCCTAAAACATGAAGCTTCAATCTGGTGCTTTTATTGTGAAGGTAGAGCACTGTGCTTCCGGTATAATAAATGATCAAACCGAAACATCAAAGGACCCATTGAACATGTCAGACTTCACACTTCCGGTCTTTTTTTTTTTTTTTAAGAAAAACTAACAAACAATAATAGGAAATTGATTTATTCTTTCAAAATAAAGTACCATTCATAATTTCTGTAAAGCTTTTTTCAGATAAATTTCTGTCCGACATGTTAAACAGAATAAATAAAATAATTTGGTTATGAACTGTTTCTGTTAAACTTTATGTAGAGTAAATCATACAGGATTTGGTTTTTTAAATTTATTTAAATATTTCAAACAATATTTTTGTTTTATTTTGACAAAAATCAGAAATGTGCACGTTGAGACTCGGGTTCTGGTTGTTTTTACTGCTCGACCCGGATCTGTGTGGAGTTCTGGGGAAGGTTCTGGTCAGGTCCGGGTCCGAACACGATTCAGTGAAGGTTTAAGGCCGCTCAGGTGAAGGCTGCTGGTGTCGACTGACGAGGTCCAGACGGACCTAAGGTTCTGTTCTGTGGGAGAGTCTGGTCAGGTGAGATACGGCTCAGGTTCTGGTTCTGGTAGACAGTGAGCATGAAGCAGGGCGTTCACTCAGACACGTAACAAAACGGAACCATCAGAACGTTGTTTTCAAAAACGTTTCCAGAACCGGGTCATCTGGTGGTTCTTGTTTCGTGTTTCTTTGAGTTAAATCCTCAAACATTAAAAAATATGTTTAAAAGATCCTGACGAGTCGGGTCCGATCGGGTCGGAATGACTTCCTGCTGGAACTGTCAGAGACGCCAGTCCGACCCGGTGAGAACCAGAAACCCAAACAGTTCTGGGAAGTCCAGTCCCTTCAGCTCTCGGGTTTCAGAACACCATGATGCTGATCTGATCGTTACCAGGTTCTGAAATGATTTTAATCTGACCTCAGGTGAACAAACCAGCAGGTTCTGCTGCAGAAGCAGAACCAAGTGTGCTGCTCTGAAGCACACAGGTGATAACACAACGACAAGATGGAAAGACATGAGCAAGGACCTCGGAGAAGCAGCTGCTGCTGACGGGTCAAAGATGATGTGAAGTCCATCGTTCCACAGAAAGATTATTTAGAAGAGACCTTTAAGGCAGCAGACAATCTTCAGGAGATTCACCCCAAAGGTCAGACTGTGCAGTGCCCAGAGAAATGAGCTCCATCTCAGATTCTACAGGCCTCAGTCAGCAGGTCAAAGGTCGAAGGTCATGGCGTGTTTGGAAGGGCTGCAGGAGAACGCTTCTCTCTAAAAACTATTAAGGACAAAGGACAGATGTTTACCCAGAATGCACTGCTGTCAGCATGGTGGTGCAGGGCTCATGGTTTGGGCTCTGTCAGTCACTGAGTGGACCAGAACTCCTCTGTAGACCAAAGGATTCTGGAGTCCAACAGCTGAAGCTTGAACCAAACTGGGTCCAACAGGACCATGATCCAGAACACAGCAGCTGATCTATAACAGAACGGGTCAAACAGAACAGAACCAAGGTGCCTCAACGGTTCAGAGTCCAGAACCTGGCACTGACTGCAACTCTGTGGTGGACCTTCAGAGAGCTGAGCAGAACCCTCACTGAACTGAAAGATGGAAAGAAGAGTGGGTCAAACTCCTCCACAACCACGAGAGACTGAAGTCCTTCAGAAACCCACAGAGGGTTCTGCTGCTGGAGGTGGTTCTGGGTCAGGGCTGGAACCAGTTTTTGATGAACATATGACTCTGTGGAACCTGGGAAAGACCTGATATTGTTCCAACAACCCAAGAACTGAAAGGTGGACTTTGTCCTCACCAACGGTTTGGGTCTCTATGAACCCGTATCTGATCCGGTTCTTTTCACGTTGACCAACTCTGCTGCTCCTGCAGAGTAATGAAACCCACAGAGCAGAACCCTGACGGTCCAATCAGCAAGAACACAGAGAACCACGAACGCTGCTATGTCATGAACAGAACTGAGGAGGTCACATGACTACCAGATAACAGGAAGTGGCTAATAACACTGGCAGCACCACTTCCTGCTGCTGGTTAACACTGTCGTCAAACTTCTGATTTCATCCAAACGTTTGTTTTGTTGTTTGTAAACAAATCGATGAAGATGATGATCCTCATCTTCGTCACGCAGAGACGTTCACGTCCCGCAGCGCAATGGCGGCGGTCTTCCCGGCAGTAGCAGCGGCGGTGGTAGCAGCAGTTTGAGGCGGTGAACTAGAGGGGGCGGGGCCACCCGCAGTGGGCAGCGCCAGGCTGTTCTGATTGATTGGTACTGAGTTGTTTGGGAACAGGATCTGCTGCAACGTTCGTCTGAGGTTTGGGTGCAGGCGGCGCTGCGTCTGGTAGAAGATCTCCACGGCAACGCACTTCATCACCCCGGAAACCAGGTCCTCATACAGCGGCACGGTGTACATCCTGGAGGTCTGGGGACAGATGGAGGGCAGGTGAGTCACTCAGGTAACAGTATGAGGCTCAGGTGTTTGGTTTGATCGTGTTTCCTGTCATAAGGAGTTCGTCCGTTAACTCGACGAGCCTAAAGTCACGAGCGATAACCCAAACCTGGTTCCGTTTGCTTCGTCACAGCTCATCTAAATTCTGGAGCTGGTGTGCTAACCCTGACCTCCGCCCCCATTCACATCTGAGCAAATAAAATCAGTTCTCTTAACAATCGGTTCTGGTTCCAGTTCAGAACCGCTCTGACACCCAAGACCCGGTTTGTTTTTAGACAGAATCACTTCAGGCTGGAAGTGGACCACGTCTGGTCGGGACAGGAAGTTACATTTGGTCAAGGCTAAACTAATTGTCTTGTTGAGACTAGACTCTACATCTGATGAGGGCCAGGAGGCACACGTCGTCTGAACTGGACCCTGTATCTAGTTGGGACTGAATGACTGGGGTCAGAAGCCGTGGTTCGTAGGGATTGGACCCCTTGACTCCCTGTCTTGCTGAGACTGGACTCTACATCTGGTTGGAACCGGACCTCATGTCGGATTAGAAAGGTGTATCACATCTGGTCGGGACCAGAAGCCACAGTTTTTGGAACCCCACTCCACTGTTGGGTCAGGACTGGACCCCACGTCTCATCAGGACCAGACTTGACATCTTGACTCAGTGTTTGTGTTGAAGCCGAGGTTCTTGTTCATCTCCCTGGGATCAACCCTGATCTGCTGACTCGGGACTTTTTTTGTTTCATTTTTATTTTCTTTGTCCATTGTCGTCTGCTCCACATCTGTGTTCTTTGTTTAAAACAGGTCAATTCAATTCAGTTTATTTTTGTAGCACCAAGTCACAACAGAAGTCATCTCAGGGCACTGAACAGATTTATCTGAGGAGCAGACTGCTTCTTCATCGCAGACTGTCATCCTGAGCAAGCATGAAGGCGACAGTGGAAAGGAAAAACTCCCTCATGAGGAAGAAACATTTAGCAGAACGTTAGGTTACTTACCGTAACCCCGGTTCTTTGATAACAGAGTGAGGTTCTTCTCTATGGGAAACGCTCCAGCGTGACCAACTCCAAAGACATTATGTCTGAGTCAGACCAGTGGAGCTGCGCTCAGGGCTCCACCCCCAACATGATACCACGCAACCGGCCGCCTCCTACTAGAGTTGCATTCAGGCCTAAAAACTTTGGCCCGAACCCGTATCATTTTTTCTGAGCCTGACCCGAATCCGACGGATTAACTGTAATTACAGGCCCGAACCCAAAAAATATATATATATTTTTTCTTTGTATTAGGCTTTTACTGCTTTTGTGAGCAAATCAGTTTGAAATGATATTTTAAAAACCTATTTCAAAGAAAGGAAGATATAAGATTTGTTTCACCAAATGGATATTAACATAGAAAACCAATAGCTTAAAAAAAATCAACTCTAAAGATCGTCTCTTGTACAGATGAACGCTGGTGAAGATTCTCAGTCATCCAGGACGTGGTAACTCCAAAAGAAGATTAAAAACAAAACAACTGGACTTTATTTGTAACTGAAGACGTTTCACTTCTCATCCGAGGAGCTTTCTCAGTTCAAAGAAATAAGGAGTGTTGGATTCAAGTTATAAAGCTGAGGTGTTCTGTAAGCTTGCATAATGCAGACTGACACATGCAGATTGACCTCTCACTCTTCACAATTGAGGCTCGTTAGAGTCTTTGTTAGGCCTGTCGCTATAAACAATAAATCTATTAATCGCATGATAAATGAAAATTATCGACCTCGTTTTCATTTGTCGGCTTTATCGTTTCTTCGTGTCTCTCTCTACTGAAGACACTGGATGACAAAAGACTCAACTCCGGTGTTCTTCACTGACCCCTCCCTTTCTCTTTTCTCTTTAAATTCTGTTTAACCGTCCAAAATTGTGTTTTTGGATCATTCAAAGCAGCTAAGCTGAGAAGCTAAGCTACAAGCTAAGCTAACAGGC